GAGACGCGCCGGCAGGCCGGGCGGCACTCGCCACGCGTGCTCCCGCACTACCGCGCCATGAAGGCCATCTGGAAGGCAGCCGGGCGGCCCGTCTTTGGCGAGAGGCGACTGCCAGGTAGGTCCCAGGGAGCGTTTCGGGGCCAGCGGGGAAGCGTGCAGCTGGGCTGGGGGTTGGGTGGCTGCTTGGCAGTGTCTCTATGTCCCCAACCACTGTGCTGCTGCTCGCTAGGAGCTTGCTCCGTGCTGCCGGCTTGGTGCCCCTTCCTCCGCTCTGCCTGATCCCTTCCTGTCTTCCCAGACCGGGTGAGGTTGCCTCCCAGGAGGCGCAGACCATCCATCGAGGACCACGCTCCATCCTCACCTGAGCAGCAAGGTACCCACAGGCTGGGGTGGCTGAAGTGGGTCCTGGCTGCGGGGTGAGGTTTGCATTGCAGAGGGGCCCGAGGGAGCTTATGTGGTTTTCAAGGCCAGGAATGGAGGGCATGGGCAGTTATGTGCATCCCTGGGATGCTGCATTTCTGTCTCTCCTTGTTGATTGCTGCCTTGTGGCGGGCGAGGAATGGTTGTACTCCCTGGTTCAGGCGCAGGGCTGGTGCCTGTGGGTCTGTGTCTGGGACTGTTGTATCCCAGGGTGGCTGGGACCCCCTCGTCTCTGCTACTGATGGGTGCTTCTTTCCATGGCACCTCCCCTGCTGTCCCCTCTGCAGAGCTCCCCACTTGCACGGACACCCCGGGCACGCCGCCGTCGCAGTGCGCCAAGGACAAGCCCACAAGCCGTAAGTACAGGTCTGCCCTGCTGCGCCGGGCTGCATGGCCACGACTCCAGTCGAAGCCCGCTCTGGCATGACAGGAACATGATGGGCCTCAGGAACGAGGGGCCTTTGTCCCAGGAGGGACCAGCTGCAGTATGGTTCTTAGGCGGGAATGCTTCTGTGTACGGAATGGGGATGATGGGACTTCTCCTTCCAGAGGCTTTGACTCTGAACCAGCCCCAGGGTGTGAAGAGATGGGGAAAGGTGGGATTGAGAAGGACGAGTCCACAGCTCTGACCCAGGCTTGGGCACAGGCAAAATCACTGGCCTGCGGGGGCATGTGATAGGGCCTAAGGCCTCTTAGGCCTTAGAGGCCTAAGGCCTCTAAGGACAGTGGCCCTGATCAAGTGCAGGGGGCTCTTCTGGCTGTGTGGCAATGCAGGCATGTGACTCCTCTTTAGCAGGTCCTGGCTCCCCACTGCTCCCCAATGACACCATAAACCTTCGTTTGGGGAGGGTACGAGTGGCGCAGCCCAGAGTGCGTATGCCCCACAGCTCCCCGCCACATACTCGGACACAGATCCTGCGCTCCTCGCTGCCTGCATGTCCACACCAGGGCTTGGCAGTTCGCCACCAAGGGAATCCAGGCTACATCCTGGGCACGATTTGTCTCGGCACATGAAGGAAGCAGTTGCTGTTACCACGAACCTGCTCGCTAGCCGGCCACGATTAGGGCAGAAATAGGTTAAATGTCTCCCTTGCAAACATGAGCAAGCAAGATCAGAAGGGTTAGATCTCTGGCTGGTCTCGATCCCAGGGCATTGCACTGCAGGGGCCTTTAGGAATGCACTGGCTGCTTCATACCCCTCTGTATCCCACCTTGCTAGAGCCAGGGAGTGACCCCCAGCATCCCGGCCAGCCTCCGTATTGGATAATTACGTTTTGTCTCCGTAAATTCCCCCTGCAGTTTCAAGTGGATGTGGGATTCTCCTTCACTCCTGTCCTAATCTGTTGTGTAGCGTTGCTGTGCACTGCTAAACAGCTGCTGCCTTCCACCCTAGAGGTGGCTTCATTGCAGTGGTGGGTGAGTGACTCCTGCTTTTGTATCTAGCTTGTAAAATGCTTTGAGGACTGGCAGGGCGCTGTGGAGCTGTGGCTAGGGCATGTTGGGCTGCGAGGCTGGCCGTGGCAGGCGAGGCAGGCCCTAGGCTGGTTGGGTTCCCACCCGGCTCCCAGCAGAGCGCCCATCTCTCCTCTGCTCTCTCCCAGCAGCTCACCTGGACCAGGTTGCTGGAGCGCCTCCTGCTCCCTCTCCTGTAGCACGTAAGGTTTTTTTTGCCCTGCTTGGCCCAGTAACCTTCCTCAGCCCCGTGGGCAGAGGGCTGTGGTGCCAGCAGTTCTCACATGATTCTTGTTGCAGACGCTGGCCGCCCGTTCCCTCCCCTGCCCCATCTTGGTGAGTATGGTGCCTGTTCCATGCTTGCGACGGCTGGGAGGTGATGGTGCCCGCTCATGTGCTGCTCTCATTCCAGACTTCCACGTTGCCTTCCCAGCCCTGAAGCAGGAAATTGCTGAAGGAAAGGCTGGTAAGAGTCTGCATTCACTTCTTGCACGGTGCAGCAGGTTCAGCTTGCTTGGGGGGGCAGCTCTGGGCTACCTGCCCATGGAGATGTGGACATGTACCTCCCGGAGGCAACTCTGGCATCAGGGATGCCAGCACGGGCATGGAGTGTGGTGGGCTCTGCGAGCCTTGTGCTCTCTCCATGCCAATCTCTCCTGGCAGGTTGCCCTGGCGAAACATCCCTGGGGATGGGAGCAGGGAACCTGCCAGTGGTTACCAGAGCCTCAGGCTCCCCCAGAAGGGCTGCCGGAAGGG